ACAAAGTGATTACTATTTCTAAGATTATAGTATGGGTTAGCAATACTAAAGAGGTTTGTTATTTTATCTGAGGTAATGCTACAATTTACTTTGTACATTAGGGTGAGTAGAAGAAAAAGATCTACTGCACTGACAATTATGGTCTCATTTATTAGACTATCGGCTAATCAATAATAAATAACTATTCAACTAATTACCCATCAACCCTTGATTACATGATGATTTCATCAAGGTCGTGGATATCGTCTGGGAATTAAATATCTAAAAAATAGAAACTTTATTTAATATCAGTGTCGGATGTTAATTTAGCTGTAGAGATTGAGACAAGCTAATTGGGGACACTTCTAGACTAAGAAGAAAAAAAAATCTGAAAATAGAAGAGAACAAAAGGAAAGCTAACACTAGCTATATGTATGAAATAAATGAGACTTCCATATTTGTGGGTTGGTTGGTTGGGGTATGGGCAGAAATCTCACAATAAAAGGAAACATTGCGACTTTNTATTAGACTATCTGCTAATCAATAAGAAATAACTATTCAACTAATTACCCATCAACCCTTGATTACATAATGATTTCATTAAGGTCATGGATATCGTCTGGGAATTAAATATTAAAAAAATAGAAACTTTATTTAATATCAGTGTTGGATGTTAATTTAGCTGTAGAGATTGAGACAAGCTAATTGAGGACACTTCTAGACTAAGAAGAAAAAAAAATCTGAAAATATAAGAGAACAAAAGAAAAGTTAACACTAGCTATATGTATGAAATAAATGAGACTTCCATATTTGTGGGTTGGTTGGTTGGGGTATGGGCAGAAATCTCACAATAAAAGGAAACATTGCGACTTTATTGGAGAGAATTTCAGTCTGATAAGGTTGTGCAGGCCAACCACTCAATTTATTTGAGTGGTTGGCACTCAATTTATTTTAGGCACCCCTTCCACTAGGTCTGTGAGTATGAGCAGCATAGGCTCTGGGTACCAGACATTTTTTGCAGACAGGAAACAAATTACCGCACAGTACAAGAATAAGGCACCTGGGAACAAGGTTTTGTCAACACATCATTGAAAATGATCTTATGCAGCAA